TTTCCTGGGAATCGCTGAACACCTGCCTGGTCATGGGAAGTGGTGAATCAATTCCTTGTTTTGCTTTGCTTGTATGCAGAGCTTTTCCTTTCCCTATTAAACTGTCTTTACCTCAACTCATGAGTTTTCTCACTTTTACTCTTCTGATTCTCTCTCCCATTCCTTTGAGGGGGACTGAGTGAGTGCTTAGATGTCAGCTGAGGTTGAACGATTACATACACGTATCAGTGACATTGTAACTTACTGTCTTGTAGACTACTGTTGAATGAAAATACAAAGCAAAGGCACAGTCTTAAGTGTGTGAGTTCATACAAACTTAAATAAAACTTGTCTAAATGTCTTTACAGTGGTAAAGAATTATGAGTGATTAAAATTATATCAAGAATGTGTAAATGAGCAACTGATGACAGCTGATGACTCAGTGTGGTTGCCATTACTGTTGTATTCATCTCACAGCTTCTTGGTGACAGCTGCCACAATCTTACATATAGAAACATGCATCTACTGAAATATCACTATGCCTTATTTATTCTCATACAGAAATTTTTCACTGAAAATGACAAAACAGAGAACAAATTATTATTGGTCTTCTTGGATAGGTTCTGAGAAACTCCTCAGATGTCCATCTAGAGTCTCTATGACTTCCTTATATTGTGTGTCAATTCATGTAACTAATTAATATTTAATTGATCTTCATTTAATTGCCTTTTTTTCCCCTTTTTTTTTCCTATTAAGAGTAACCAATCTGGACATCTGTAGCCTTGCAATGAATTTGTCAACTAAACTAAGCTACATCATTTTCTGCTGTAGAAACATGTTGTCAAGCGTTGGAACAGGCTGCCCAGGGAACTGGTTGAGCCACCATCCCTGGAGGTATTTAAAAGACATATAGATGATGCACTTAGGGACATGGTTTAGTGGTGGACTTGGTAGTGCTGGATTGCTCTTTGAGGTCCTCTTTGAGGTCATTTCCAATATAATGACTCTATGATTCTATGTTTCATTTTTACTTTCTGCATGCATTTACATGAAGTGTTCAGACTTAATTCAAACAAGAGTGATGTAGCAAAAAGACATGCCACAGCTGATTCTCCTTACTTTGAAGAAGATATTTAATGCCATTTGCAAAACTAGCATTTAAAGTAGTTTTCTTTAGAAGATTGCATGAAGAGTAACAGGAGACAGAAATCAAGAAGATTCAAATACAACTCCTAATTTGTTTGTTCTAAATTCTTTGTAGATTAGTTTCACTGTGAGGCTTAACTATCTCATGATGATGAAAAAGAGATGAGTGCTTAAATGATGCTATAAGACATTCACAAAATGCTACTTTGTCTGGTAGACTCTTAAACTCCTTTGTAAGTTCTGCAGCAGTATACACACATACACAGAGTAAAATCTTATCAAACTCCTTAGCACCTGTTTTATGAGTAGAGTCTGTCAAAATTGGGTATCTATTCAAAATCATTTCCACTTGTAGGGCTTAATATGCTGACATCCATCACCTAGGGCTCAGGCAAGAAGGAAGTGACCATCCTCCTTTCTTCATCCACTATATCAGACATTCACCCAGATTATGGGAAGGGCAGCTCTGGAAGACTTGTAAAGGACTTGATATCACATCCTTGCCTTACAGTAAGTCTCTTGATTGGTGGGTCTTAAACTGTTCAGAGATGAGGGCTCTCATTTTGGTTGTGCTCCTCAACCTTGTGCTCCTTTCTGTTATGATAAGGTGAGTAAAAGCCCAGCAACTCACTGCCATAATTTGCAGAGAAAAGTTATGATCCTAAGAGGTTCTTCACATAGGGCAATTTGTCATGCTTCTAAACAGCCACAGAATAGGCATTTTCAGCTTACACGAGTTCACCCATCTCATCGCACAGCCTGCGATTTTGCTCCAGGGACATGCAGGGTTAGCGCATTCCAAATAGGAATGTAAATTATGTTTACCTTTTTTGTGCAAGGTTGCACCAGACCAGCTTTCAGAACAGCGAGTCTTCCTGACTTTATTCAATTCATGGGGAGTAACTGCAATTTGAAGTTTTACTGCTAGTCTGGACATTTTTACGTTAAAAGGAAGTGTGATGGTTACTGAGTTTGCGTAGTGGTAATAAGGATAGGAAACCCATGCTAACTGAGTGTTATGACCCACCCTACCAGGCAGGAGTAACTTTTGTTTTATTATTAAATCCCTTGGAGTGATTTAAAGTAAAACAATACTAGATGATCAGTGTTTGCAGATATATATATATAGGATTTATTTTAAAACAATTTGGTTGCAAAGGAAGACAGGTATGTAGCTGTTTTGATTGTTATTATCTACAGTAACATGGCAATATAAAGAATAAGGGTATTGCAGAGTAAAACAGATATTTAACCATTTTGATTGTAATATAGCCACCCAAGAAAAATGTGTAAGGAAAAAGAGAGAAAAAGAGAGAGAGAAAAGAATAAAATTCATAGTCACCAGGTAGAAGTCTTCAATGAACTTGGTGGTTGTTGTCCCTGGTGTCTTGGTCCATTGGGGAGTGGTGGGGAAGAGAAGCCCGTGAAACATTCGATGGGTTTATATATCTTCAGAAAGCCCCCTGGTGCCATCCTATGGAGGGAGGGGGGGAAACCACTTTTGCAGAGTCTGGAAGCTCTGGTTTTTGCAGTCATTTAGGTTTGGGGAGGAGGTGCTAAGAGGTCTTCTCCAGGGTAGTCGTGGGTGTGCACACAGGGGCCTCCTTTGACACAGCCTGGCCCACAGGAGATAAACATCACACACCCGGAGAGTGCCGCTGATCTTCTTTAGATAAACATCGAACACACCTAAAAAGCATCACACACCCAAGACTTTGCCCCTAGGGCCTCACAAATCTAACAGCTTGTGGGCTATGGCCTCCTCCCTTCAGCAGTATCTTCAATCCCCTGGCAGGTGGCTTGCACAGCTTGCCCCAGTAGCAATGTTTTAAGGCAATTAAAAGAGTCCAGTTCCTCACACTGAGGTCAACAAACGTCTTTAGATTGTTTGAATGCTGAGTGCTTGCTTCCTAGTAACTGGCATCTTTAGAAAGAGCTTCCCACTGTTCTGGAACAGAGTTCCTTGCAGTCATAGTCATAAACAGTCTGGAGATTTAGACCTAGCAAATCAAGGATTTGTATTTTTAAAAAGGAACCTATTGAAATTCAAAGGTCTGCCTCATAAGAGCTTGGTTTATGACAGCGATATATAAATGTACTAAGAAGAATATACAAGCTCATTACAGGCGATTTTTATCATACAATGGAATGGTCTTGGAAGAACTGAGAAACAAAGTTTTAAATAGATTTGTGTAAAGTGTACTACCTAATACTTGGGGAATTGTGTTTTGGTGGGTCCCAAAGCAGTGACAAAGGTCTTATTGGAAAACAAAGAGTTTTTGACTGGTGAATGAGAATTTTCATTTAGTGACCAGATATAATATCAAGATTTTTGTTTTATCAGTTGCAATCATCTAAAGCAAAATGCAGTTCTTTCACTGCAGCCAAATAACTAAAGAAGAAACACTATCAGAGACTATTCTTAATATTGGTGAGGCAATTTGCTGCAAGAGTTATCTTGAATTTTTCTTTCCTAAGAGAAGGGTTTTTTTACTGTACTTCTACTGTATGGCTCTTTTTACAGTATGTTTTTTAAATATGAAAATAGCCTATCAGATAAAGTGTTTGCAAAAAGTATTTTCTAGAACAGTATTAAACTGCATTTGCACTGTAGCAAAAGAGGTGTACAGCATTACAGTGAAAGATATGCTAGAAAATGCACATATTTGCATTATTTTGGCTTCTTGTTTAACGTTCTTAATCATATTTTTGCCTCATCTGCAAAGTCTCATCACATAGTATTTATACTTGTCAGGAGATTTCTGTGTTTTCTTCCAGAAAGGTGAGATTGTCATTTAGATGTTGTTCTTGAATTTGTTCTGGTTTTCTTTGTTGTACCCAGTTCCTGTATTCTTGAATTCTAATTTCTTGTTAAGTTATTTAGGTTTTCATGAAATTTCAATAAAAGTCAACCTTATGTGAGACACAAGCCATTTTTGAATAGGAATATGAGTGTTGTGAATTCTCATACTGCTTTACTGTTACTTGCTTTGTCCCTGCAGGTTTTAACATATTTGCTTCATGGAGAGAAAGCACATAGAAACTTATCTTGCAGTGTCAGCTAAAAGTACTTCTTTTGTTCTGTATCTTGCTGTCTTTGTATTCAGATAAGCATTATTAGTTCAGAGGCATTTAGTTTATGTGGATTAATAAAATTCAGGAAAGAAACTTTCAAATGAATCTTGAAAGCAAGTCAGAGTATGAATCAGACTTACTTAGATGCAGAGAATGTTCTGAAAAGAAACATTACCTTATGTTGATAATAATCAGATGTATGTTGTCCTCCAGCTTATTACAGAGTGAATCTCAGCATTTTGCAGTTAGTGTTCTATAAAAAGAATATTATAAAACTTGATTATCTTGTTTTTACAAACAAAGCAATAAGAACACCCTAGTGTCTTGATGTTTTCCAGTGAGATTTTGCTTTGTTGGTGGGATAAAAGGTTATTGGGCAGCTGTGGCAATACAAAATAGTCCTGAACTAACAGGGGGAAAAACCAGGTACCAATGTGAGCAACTGAAAGAAAATTTCTGTTCAACATCCATCATTAGTCAAAAACTAATGTGAAGAATATGCATGAAGAATATGAAGGAAAATATGATGTTCAACAGATATAAGCCTGTATCATACAGTGTCAGCAGGAAAGCAGAGTACTTTGTGCTACTACTCTGTTGTGTTTGCTCAATAATGTAATAAAGATAGCATATGTTTACTAGTACTTTTCCATGTTTTAAGACTGAGAAATTAGACTGCCTAAGCTTAAAAGTTGTGTGGAATACTGATTTTTTGGTTTGCTTTGTTTAGTTCTCCCTGTTAGGAATATCATTCACTCAAAGCATGAAGAAATTAATGTTTGTTTTTTTCTGCTGCACAGAACCTGAAGCGTGTGGCAGAGACATGGATGGATGAGTTTGCAGAGTACATTTACCAGCGACGGCCTGAGTACAGACATCTCTCAACTGGCGATATCTCTGCCCAGAAGGAGCTGCGCAAGCACCTGAAGTGTAAAGATTTCAAGTGGTTCATGGCTGCAGTGGCTTGGGATGTCCCAAAATATTACCCACCTGTGGAACCTCCACCTGCTGCCTGGGGCGAGGTGAGGAATACACAAATTAGATCAAATTTAAATGAGTCTAATATTTTAGATTGTGGGAAATGAAGATTATTACTTCAGACTTAAACCAGTGATCAGTAGTGTTATTATAGGAGTTCACAGTGGTTGGAACAATCCCTGAGCTATCCATTAAAATGAAAAACTCTCATGTCTTAGAACTATCACTGTCCCCTTTATAATTCATTACAATTTTGTGTCTACAGAGCATAAGATGTATGCAGAGTGAGGACAAGAATGAGGAAAAGAGTATGTAGCACTCATTATTGCATGTCAGAGGAAGATTTTAGGTTCAGAGAATCACCTTAGTAGAAAGCAGATCCGAAGTCACTGCTCGTGGTTTTTTGCATATCTACCTATATACCTCGTCCTGTCCTTACAAGGACAATTGTATGCTGGTGGAGTTAGGTTTGCTCTGTTTTGCTCACATGTGCAAGTGTGACAAGTGAGGCCTGGATACTTTTCTTTTAAAAAGACTGATTTTGCTTAGCTGTTGTCTGCATTCTGTAGGTGCTGTCATGACTGAGTACCAGTAGCAGACAAATGCAGTTTCTCCTTTGATGGATGAGGGGAGGGAGAGACCACTAAAGAGAGGCCAGTATTTGAGCATCACTCCAGAGCAGGGGGTGAGCAAACAGCTGGCTGGAACTCTCCACCTGTGATCAAAGATATTCTGCATTCAGACCTCTCTGAAGAGCAGAGCTGTAGCACACTTTGCTTTGACAGTTTGTTTTGTGCAGAAGAAATAAGAACACAAAGAATGCAAGGACAGGAAATTATTTCCTTATCTTCACTGAAAAATTGCTGTGGCCTTTACCCCCAGGAACTACAGTGGCTTCACGCCATGGGAAGGTGGCATGCAGAGGGCTCTTTTCCTCTCAGATCATTAAGATCTATAAAGAAGGCTTTGCTCTTTCAGTATATTGTGCTACCTTTTTTAAAACCGTAGTAATATCTGTCCTGCAAGTTCTAGCCTTCTCTGATTTTGCTGGAGATGTTCTTAGGGCTCTCAGACAATTATCATTCATATTGTAAACCAAAGGATGAAGTTGAAGTTTTGACTAAAACATTTGGTAAGACCAGACACACCCCTGCATATTCCCAGTGGTTAAGACTGGACCATAGACTCCTAAACGCCTCTACTATTCTCTATAACTTCCTTTTAAAAAAGCAAATTACCTCATAGTGAGATTTTTAAAATAACTTTCTGTGGTAGTAGCAGTCCTTAATTTTTCTTTATAAGCTATCAGTTACAGATGTTCAAAAGAACTTCAATTTATATGTGTCTAACTGTTTGCTACTTCTTGGCAGTAATGAATTCCTTTGTTGTTAATGTTTCTTCTATCTTTGATGCTGCTGTCCACACTTTGTGAGTTTAATGTGTGCTAGGAAGTAAGGAGTTTATCAGTAGAAGTCAGGCTGGATCAGGTTGCTGTGACTGCTACTGTGATCTTCCTTTACCATCTTCCACATGTGTCCTTGGAGGACCGTCATCATGAAATGTGACAATCCTTAACTCAGTCAAGAGAGTCTAAGAGGAGGAAATTGTGATTCAGATATTTATTCTTTTCACAGCAATATTAATATAATCTTTGCATAAAAACAAGTATTTTTAAAAGTAAATCAAAGTTCGTAGCAGTGATATCAAATCTGTACTTTAAAAGCGCTTATTAAGTTCTTAGGAAGGATGTGAAGACCAAAGACTCTTTTTCCTCTAAAATGTGCTTTCTCTAAAACAACAATAAGACAAGTTTCAGCCCTACTGCTCTGTTTTCTCCTGAGACTGTCACATTCCTATGCAGTTTTAATTAATTTGTTGGCACTTGCAAGGAACTTGAAAAAACTTGAAGGTTAATGGCTGTCAGAAGCTGAAAGAGGGAAACAGACTGTAATGTTACTGCTTTGTAAGAGTCAAGCAGCTCTAGAAAACTTGCTGATTATACACACCAAAAGTCTGTGCCAAGACTGACTGTCATTTAGTACCCTCTCTGCTTCCATTTGGAAATATGTTATATCTGCCAGTCTGAGAAAGGGTAAACAATGAGGTACTCAGACAATTTTGGCTCCAGTATTTTGATATTTAGCTAGTAAAAGCATGTGGTGTGAAAGCAGACAGTCTCATAGACAGCCTCTGCTCCACTCTTTTTTTGCAAATGCATCCGTTTAAAATCTGACTCATACATTTCTTGACAAAATCTGTTTATAATGGAAAAGAAGGACATTTGGAAAACAAAAAGCAATCTTTCTTGCTACTCTTGTCATGGCCTTATCTCTTCTGTGTGTTTGTGCCTTTTGTCCTTTGTAGCTGGCAGGGTGTAGGTTCCCTTGATACTCTGCTCTGCCTAGTAACATCTGAGATATGTGCAGTAAAGCAATGTAACAGTGAATCCAGACAGATTAAGCTTAGTGAGGCTATCAGTTCTGTGTTCGAGTGAGGTAACTGTACTCTTTTCCACAGTGGAAAAAAGGAAAGTTTTCAATTACGTTTTGTTCTTATCCTTTTGAATATATTGGGAAGTGTGCTACCAATTGAAAAACAATAATACCCATCCCATTCTCTTTCTAAGACAGAATAATTTATTTGTACTCTGTATTTGAAATCCTAATGAAGTTGAAACAATAGGTGAGAATTAAACACCAACTGTTTTCTTAGGAAGTACTAATGGATGTACAACCTGAGATCCAGCATGAATATATTGTGCTTTCACAATATATATTTCACACAATATATCCCAGCTTTCAGTGTCTTTAAAAACACATTTTACAGTAAATCAATCATATAATCTCAGACATTGTCATTTATTTTAGATTTCATGAGTCCTATAATCAAAGTGATATGAAATATTTTTTTTTGTTTTACTCAGTCAAAAGGGAGTTATTTAAGCTTGGTTTCATTTGCTGTTACATAAATTTATTATTCAGCGATTTAATGAGGAAGTGTCTCAGGCACTGCAGCAGTGCTAAGCTATAGGACCTGAAGGTACTCCTTTCTTGGTCCCAAGCTCATGGATTTTACAGAACAATTTTACAGCACTGACATGAAAATGTCCCCTATGAATTTAAGTCAAGTAGCACATTTGAAAAAAGATGAAAGCCTAAGAACTCACTAACTTCTCTTTCTATTACTTTCTTTTTTTTAAAGTATGTCATCCTCATACCCTTAATGAGTCAATCTCAGCCCACCGAGTGTCACACATCTGTTGTACAAAAGCGATATAACCCCACCCTGCACAGATCAGGTGCTGCACAGCTGGACTGTTCTAATTCTTTCATCAGGATCAGTGTCGCACTGAATAAGAGTCCACTGTTTCTTCAGTGAGGTCTTTGGCAGTGCTTGGCTTCCTTTACCTTTGACTTTTCCTTTTTTATGGCTAACACAAAGGATAACTACTCTAACATTACTATGTATCAGTTGACAAGAGAGATGGCTCATTCTTCCATGCTTGATCCATTGATGTTGATGGCCCTAGGGTTGTCTGGGAATGTAAGCAGTGCATTAAAACTGGCTCCAAGAGCTGCTCAAACAAAAAAAGCAACATAAATGAACATTGATAATATCTTCTAAGAACCACAGCCACTTTCTTATTTAAGGGATTAAATCCCTTAAATGGAAAGTATTATATAAACTGATACCATCAAGGTACCTCTCTTGTTGCTGTATTAGAGCACCCTAGGGATTGTCCCAACCCCATCTCCACACTCATCATTCACAGATTACCATATTGAACATACAGTTGTCTTTAGGTTGCTACACTTTCCCACTTTTTGCTTTTGGCGCAGACAGTTTCATGTTATGATGAGCATGCGGGGTAGCTTCCAGAACCCCTGGGCTTTCCTCTCCCTGTCCAGCTCACCCCTCCCTTTCCCCAGGAAGGCTGAAATGTATCTGGGTGATAGCCTGTCTCTGATGCAGGCAGAGCCAGGACATCACCTACTACCTCAACAGCAAGTCTTGAAGGAACTCATTTGCCTGCGAACAAAGTTGTAGAGTTTTAGAATTATCAAAGAATATTGGTCAGTATAACTGCCGGGTCCTGGGAAGCTGTGTTCTCTCTGCTTCTGCCCCTCATCTGTTCTCTGTAAGGACTACAGTGCCCATGGTCTTAATACCTATGTCCCAAAGTGAGTTAGGATGCCATTTCAAGAACAAAATATGTATAAGGACTTACAGATAGTGTCCTGTGCTTTTTTCAGAATGTGTTTAATTCGGAAACAGCCTTTAATATCACCACTATCTGTCCCTGTTAGTTCATACAGGGTCCTCAAAAGCGTGCTTTTCTTGTACATTTATCTGTGTGTACAGATGATGGCATTTAAGGTTGAGCAAATCAGCTTTGTATGTAGCAACACAATGCCCTACCTGCATGGCTGATAAAATCTGTCTCCTGTTCATCCCCAGCCTCTACAATTGCACAAATATGAATGTTGGAAATGTAAGTATTAGGATCACTAGCTATTTGTTTGCTAGTTGTAACTCATAACCTCAAAAACCCTTAATCCATTGTGCTGTGTGACTGGAAACAAGGCACTTTCAATGCATATTGGTGTATACATAAGAAAAAAGCATCTGAGCTTCTGCTTTCCTTCCTTTGTTCATGGAAACATCTCAGGGGATTTGCAGGCTGTGTGGTGCTGATGCTTGGCAGAATGTTCCCTGTGGCTCTGGCTCTGACTTGATCGCTCCGTTCAGTTTCTAGCAACTGCCAAGGCCACACAGAAGCACCAGAGAACAAAAGCACAGACTTGACTGAAATGCCTGTGTTACAAAAAGAAAACAAAAAACAAACAGCGACCCCTCTGCAGCTGAAAGGATGAAACATAAAAAGGATGAGCTGCAACAAACCAGAGGAAAAACTAACTCAAGCAAACCTTTCAGGAGCAGAGGGAAGAGGAGAGGAAATAAAGAACGTGAGATGGATTCCAGCAGTGAAGGAACTAAATGTAGCTTCAGCTCAAGCCTTTTCCAGAAATGGACTGAACACATTTCCTGCACAGTCCAAATGACTGAGAATGGGATGGAGTGATGCCATCAAGACAAAATTATGAAAGCCCTTTAATCCGATAAGTATTCATTGGACATGGAGTGTATTCACCGTAATTTTAAATTATGAATCACATAAATATACCTCAATTACTAATGGCAATTGTTAGCAGCTCCATTTTAATTAACTTGCTTGCTCTAAGAATAGACCTGATGTATCATTTTATCTTCTATTAGACCAGAGATCTTTATCTCTACAATGGAAATTTAAGTGCATTCAGAAATGATTGAACATTCTCAAAAAAAAATTTTACTTGGAGTAGGTATTTCACATGCAACCTTAAAAATATTATATTAAAATCTGTGCCACTCGTTCTTTCCTGCCTCTTTTTCTGATATGAAAAAGAAGGCAGGGTTGTTGAGAACTAATTACCTTTCATCTTTTTTACCGTGGGGCTTCTCAGTGCCAGGTTTCTGGATCTGGTTGTGTGTATGAACTGCTAGTGTTTTGCCTCATCTTCAGCAATTTTTATTGTATTAAAAAAGGAAAAAATATCCTAGAACTGGGTTTATCCAACTTTTAGAAGAATGCTTCTCTGAGCTCTGGTGAAGGATCAAAGGTCCTTGTAGTCAGTTGCTTAAACTGATGCTCCTCATCTTTCCCCGATTTGCTCTTTTCTAGGCTAAACAAATGCAGCTTTTAAAACCTTTCCTGAAGGTGACGGTTTTTACATTTTTTCCACTACTTGTTGATTTCCCATCTGTCTAAATCTTTCTTGATCATGGTGAATAGACTCTATCCCACTCCTCCAGAGTCAGAAAAAGAGCAGAGTAGCTCTGGCCTGTGTCTTGTATGCATGAGGATTTCTCCTCCTTGCAATGTTTTGTGCTATGCTGACAAGTTTTCCATCCTTTGGATGTGAATGAGATATGCAGTGACAATATTTACATTTGTCTAGCATATTATGGCAACAATAGTGACTTTAAAGTATTTTTCATGAAAAAAACACAAATGCCAACTCAGCTGTATCTCCATTCAGCATCTAGCTTTTTTTAAAATAAGAATCAAAGTAGCATCCAGAATGTCAAAATATGCACCTGCTTTATTTATGGAATTTGTGCATGTGTCTATGCTTGTACGTGCACTTTGATTACTCAATTTCTGTTTATCTCATTGACAGGGTAAGTTTTTTTAAGAAATCCTTTTCATTATGGAGGTGTGTAAAGGATTTTGAACTAGATCGACTAAGGTACTCAGAGAAATGTCCATGTATTTGCAAAATAAATCAAGGATTCTACCTCTTTTTGGTGGCAGTGGACAACCTACTCCTTTTCAAACCAGTGTTTCAAAGAAAATATACATGGCAGCAGTGGTACATAACTGGTATGATTGATAGTCACAGATTAATTGTTACTCAGTTGCTTCAGTCTCAAGAATGAGATTTTCCTTTTAAGAGTAAGTTACACTGCAGTGTTTGCAGCAGGCATGCAGAAGGAACCTCCATGGGTAAGCATAAGTTCCAGTACAGATTTGTTAAGTACTTTTTAATTTTATGCACTTCAGGCACTAAGTGACCTTATCTGCAGTGGTGTTATTGTGTCAAAGTAAGAGCAAGGATTGGAACAGGGTGTGCCTGAGTTTTTAATGCGTACTGCTCCAAAGGCTGGGAGAGACTCATACAGAAATCAGTTCCTTCTGCAGTTGATCTCTCTTGCTCTTGTAGGATGGAAGAAGCAGTCAGACCAAGCTTTAAACTACTCAGACTTTTTTTTCTCTTAGTTTCTTTGCATGAGCACATTTCTTAAGACCTACCTTTCATTTGTTAAGTAGCATATTTCAAACTTGGCTGCTTCTGAAGCTGCTCCTAAAAAGAGTAGTTCATTCCAGAACATGGCTTTCTATCCTGTAAAAATAACTCCTACCAGTTTTCCATAACTAATAGTGAGTCTCAAGCCCTTCAGAGTTAAACTCCTAACCCGCTAATGTTGGAAGCTCTATTCTGCAGCCCGATATAATGTGAAATGTTGCTGCTTGGTTTTGCAGATTCGAAACGTGGCAGCCAACCTCTGTGTGGACAGTAAACATGGAGCCACAGGGACTGAGCTGAGGCTAGACATCTGTGTGAAGGATGGCTCAGAACGAACGTGGTCACATGAACAGGTATTTTAACAGCAGAAAATCAGGGTAAAATTGTTACTTCCTTTTTCCAGTTTTTAAACATTTCTCTGGGGGCTTCTCCCTTTCCTAAGGCAAAACAGAGTGTAGAAATAATTTGTGCATTGTTACTGACCTTAATGGCTTTAGTGGCTTTTACAAAGTACTCCTTAATATAACCTCAGAAATTCCAGCTGCCACCTGAGTTGTATATTAGTCTTCATTTCCAAAAGGAATTACAATGCCCAAAGAGCTTTTTGATGCCCCGTTCTCCCTCACTGTGTCATGAAAACATGTAGATTTTGGTTCAGTTGCCTGAAAATATTTTAAATATAGTACCTGGGCTTGTAAAGCTCTAGTTTTTGTCTGCTTTTATGCTTTCATCTCAATAAGCTCAATAAGTGGTTCTATTTTAAATAAATATGAGGTATAAGCGAGGTAAATGGGGAAAAGCAAGGGGAAAAGCATTTCAGAAAGACAAGGAATTATAAAGACTCAAAAAAGCTTTTATCTAGGTTGGTTAGGTAGAAAAATATTAGCTCTCAAAAATACGGAGGAAAAGAGCTCTGATTTGTACTCACTGTGAGTGCCATAGGAAATGACCCACAGGCCATGGGTCTGGCCAATGTGAGCAAAGACAATCTAGATGGAAAGTACAACCTAACCATTTATTAGCAACTTTAGTGAGCGTGCCTTTCACAGCGAAAGGTCCCATATTAGAAAAAAATTTCCAATGCTGAAGAGAAAAATTGACCTGGCAGTCATACACGGCACTTTGTAAAAACGTAAAAGCTCAGGAGAGAGGAGTTCTGAGGGGTATTTGAAGTGCTGAGGTCAAGAAACCATTCTCTGAGTGTACTGAGAAATGCAGGGGGAGAGGTGCATGAAACTGAGAATCTGAAGGATTATCGCAATTTAGGTAAGTGCCAACATGGCAAAAAAGGAAGTTGCTGAAAGAAGACTTCTTCAGATAGCTACCAAAGATACTGCACAGGGATAGAATGCTAAGACTAGATAAATATAATCCTGTTTTGTTTATGAAAGACATCCAGTAATTCAAGCAGTTAATTGAAGGAAGTTGTATGGTCCAGACTAGACCATCGCAGTGTTCTCTGGCTTTAAAATCTGCGAACATTAGAAGCTCCAAACCCTCCTCAGGAAGGGAGGGAGGGAGTCCTGAGGCTGCCAGAGATGAGAAAGGAGGGAAGAAAATTGGATGAAAGGGTGAGACAAGGAAAAAAGCAGAGAAAAGAGAGACTTGAAATATCCTTTGAAAGAGTAAGAGCTTGGGTGAAGGGGAAGGGACACAAAGGGAGAAGGATGCTAGGGAGGAATCCGTGTTACAGCGTACTCCAGTGCATTGAGACGTTTGGGATCAGACTGGATATGGTCTCATTCTATATTAAGAACGAAAAATGACCTCATCAGAATCAATAAGACGAAGCTAGCACGAAGGGAATTCAACCAGCCAGCTCCTCAGATTCCAGAACCAGAGGCAAGAAGCCTCAAGCCCTTCGGTGCTCGTCTTGTGCCCCAGGGACAGCACAACTCTTTTCTAACGGGTTGATGGGGGACAGCGCATCCCCTCGCACTGCCGAAGAGTGTGGAAAGGACTGCCCGGGAGCGCTGCTCCCATGCGGCGGTGCAGTGTCCCAGGGGGAGGTGTGCCGAGCCCCGGGCCAGCCGTGCCGGCCGGTTCGGTGCCGATTCCCGGGCCAACCATCCCGTCCCGTTCGGTGCCGATTCCCGAGCCAACCATCCCGTCCCGTTCGGTGCCGATTCCCGGGCCCACCATCCCGTCCCGTTCGGTGCTCGGGCGGGGCGGCGGGCGCGCTGCGGCGGGCGGCCGGCAGGGGGCAGCACTGGCCAGCGCAAGGCGCGTCCCCCCGGCCGCTCACGGACCCAGCGGCGGGTGCGCGTCCCACGCCCAAAGCCATCCTTTCGCTTTTGATTCCTCTCGTTTGCTGCGGGGAGGGGAGGGTATTGTGTCAAAATCTGTGTTTGTGCAGGTGACAGTTTTTACAAGTGAAAAAATTCCCTCAAAAGTGTGTTTTAGATTGGTATATTTTGGTGGGCGTTTCTTGAGTGGTTCTCCATACTCAATCCCAATTCCCATCCTGTTAGCAGTGATGTAAGACCATGGTCTAATGAAACATCCACTGAGGAGAAGGAATGTGATCTTCCACTTGCACCACAACAATCTGTGAAGATTATCTTTATTAGAGAGTGGGGATAGCTGCCAAACACCTGACCAACCTGAGAGATCTTCTCTTTCACCCTTCTGGAGTTTGTTGCCTACATGAGTTCTGCATATGCGTGTAGAAACTAACAGTATTAATGAAAATATCAAGTATTTTATTATCATATTTCAAATAGCATGAATTGACACTGAACTGGACTTGTAACTTCTGGTATAAATTTCCATGGAATTCAGTGGCAAACTCTAGTAGCTTGATGTGACCAGTGCAGCAGGCATCAGTGCTGCTGCTGCACAGAGATGATCCTTTGTGCCACTTGGTTCATGTCATGTTACCAGGGCAGGAATTAAAAGCTGATAGTCTCAGACACTGTGCTGGGGGGTGCAGCCATTTGGCAGATCCAAGGAGAGGAAGACAACCTTCCACCCCAGGGCTATACAAACAGGCTGGGCAAACAGCAGTCAAAAGGTCTGTGGGGCTCTTGCAGGCTTTCTGGTGAACATGAGATGGGTGGGAAGCGAGGGTGAATGTCACTGTGGTTCCTAGAAGCTTTCCCAAAATTAAGAACCAGAGGGGAAGAAAAGGGGCAGAAGGATGTCAGGGCACTGTGTTCTTCCACCTCTGTCTTTCCAGAGCTAACTTCTGGCTTCAGGGAAAACTGGGGCTCTGCTGGACTGATAACCAATAGCAAAGGAAGATGACAGGCATCACTGTGTCTTATCAAGTCCCCAGTCTTGCCAGGGAATAGATGGACAGGCACCATCTCTAACATGGCACAGCAAGTAGCCATGGAGCCTGCCTAGCTCTTTCTTTTCTGCTTGGAGGTATAATTCAAGTCAGAGTCCAGTTTGAAACATGATGTTTCATCTTTGCACAGGGTACATGTTGTCCTCTCAAGTCTAATGCCGTAGTCAGAGCACAATGCCAGCTGACAGACCCCGGCCAGACAGCGAGTAATTGAGCAATGTTGTCAGGCTGGAAAGTATTAATGGTATCAAAAGGGCCTTTGTCCTATAGACAGTCCCAAGCCAGTGGCTGTATCAGGCAATCGTTCTTCAGGCCCTGTGCCAATTATAAGTGAAGCTGGAAAGCTGTATTTTCCCCAGTTACTGCATGACAGGGCTAGGCTACATGAAAAGGCAAAGCATAAGGGATGAAAGGTTGCTTGATTGCAAATGCAGAGGATAGTGTTATGTTTTACAGACTCTGATATGAGAGAAGGCAAAGGAGGAGAATGAGCATCCACTGAGCCAGGACACAGGGTTTCTTGGGTCCAGCAGGGAGCAGTTAACAGCAGCCCTGTGTGTTGCAGGTGAAGAATCAACCTGCTGTTTGTTAATAATGTGCCTGGGAATTTAGGTGCAGCCTTGTTTCAAATCAACAAGCAGTCAGAAATGAACGAAGTACAAAAAGAGTACAAAAGGGTTCAGCCATTTATTGTAAAATCTGACACAGTTGGTTCCTAACAAAGGAACAACAAAATCCAAAGTGACAAGTGGTGGCAAAGCAGAGCATTATATACTCAGGGCTCCAGCTAATAACATGTAGCATTGTTGCACATTATGCAGTGGAGAGATAATATTTATATTGGCCAGATTCAGTGTTAACTAGAGAAAAATTGCTGTTTAAAGTAGGATAGCTTAGAATTATGAGATTGGAAGGACTGTAGGCCTTCACGTTTTGTCTGTAATTGCAACATCTTAATATCAATTGGGTGTATAGAGAAGTATAATTTTTTTTCTGATCATTTTTTTCTCTTCTCTCTCAGTCCTAAAACTGACTTCCTGTCCCTAACAAGGTTGGTTTTATAATAGTATCACTAGGAGGAAGACATACTTGTTTATTTAAAAATAAAACTGTTTTAAAAAACAGAAGGCTAAAGAAGAAGGAAAAAGAATCTGTCCTAGTCTAAATATTGAGATCTAGTATTGCACAGATCCTGGTTTTCGGTGGAAGGGAATAAAAAACACCACTGTGTTACCATGTCTTGACTTGCAAACAGGACACAACCCTGGTAGCCTTCAGAAACCACACAGGAGTGGAAAGAGCAAAGGTATAATCTAGATCAGGATGATCTGATTTAAAGGCTAGCTCGAGCTCTTTCATGTGTACTGATGCATTCAGTGGGTAGTAGTCCTCAAGCCAAGGTCCAGAGAGCAGCAAGAATTGGCCCCTCAGCTCACCAGTCCTGCACAGAATGAGAAATTTGGAGAGCCACTCACTATGAAAGATGAGGATGGTCCTGCAATAGGATCTCTCTCTAACTGTAGTGATGAGAGTGAGAATATCGCAGAACTACTGTTCCATACCATTCATCGAAGTATTTGTTATTCATCACTTTCAGCTGTAGGTATATTACATGTCTGTAAAAAGGTAAAGGATAAGATAAAGAAAATGGCTTTTGTAGTTTTTTAATTAAAGGAAAATTGTCTCAGGCATCTCTTTTTCTAAAGAAACAGCAGCATAGTTTTTTTCTGTGCCAAATCTTAGCTTCTATCTTTGCTTGTGAAATGATAAGTTATCGTTGTAGGAGGTCCATAATGCTTCCTCAAAGAAATATAAAGAAAAGTGGAAATAGATTTAACCTTTTGAAAAATAGAAATTGCTTTGAAAATAAAGTTAAGGCTGTCCACTGCATTTTACTGCAGATGAATGGAAAACGCACTCTGGGAGAAAAAAGAAATAAGCAGGACACAGGGCCAGATTAAGAAAACACACTCTAGGAAACCTATAATACAGAAGAAATAGGGAGTAACAGCAGCTCACAGAGAGAACAAGGGCTTACAATAAGAAACACAACAAAAAAGGAAAATATTCAGATATATGCTTGTATTTTGGGCCTGCAGGCCAAGAGGGACAGTAACACCTCTCAAATGTGGTATTTGGATGATGGTACAGCATTGAAGGTGCAGAATTTTTAAAAGTTGTATCTTTTAGGAAGACCATGGAAAGAAGATAACCATAGCAATGAAAGGGTTAAAACCTGGGAACTACCACATAATTATTCAGGATCAGACCCATGTGATATTAAGCTTCAATTTATAGCTGTTTCCATCAGGGAATGTACACATTGCAGGGTGCAGGATGCTAGGTGAGGACCAAAGGGACCCTGAGAGGGGGTGCTGGAGGCATTCTGAGCTCAGTATGGGGAGCTGCTTCTCCGGACAAAAAGCTTGCATGCAGTTCCACATGAACCCTGATGCCTTAAGCCCCTAATGTTTTTTTTTATTTTTCTAATATTTGTAAGACTTGTAAGTTTTATAAGTAGTGGAAGTAGATTTTAAAAGCAGCAACCTCCCCCCCACTTTTGTCCCTTGTTCCTTTCCCTTTCTCTAGCACCCTTGTTTATACATTCCTTAACCCTCTTACCCCATTCTATCCTCCCTATATCACTCATAGCCCCAAATCCAATAGAAATGTTTAGTCTTTTGTCAAGGCAAGGCCTAGATTGTTGGCAGAACAGCATATCAAGACCTAAACCACAGAATACGGTCAGGAATTAGGTAACTATGTACCCTTTGTGCTCTGATGATGGTGAAGATGGGATGAATGGGGGGTCCCAAAATACACCCCAGACTCATTTTAAGGGGGCGGACCCAGGGCGGACCAGAGTAAAGGCCACAGTGTGGACACATCTGGGATTGGATAGATGGTGTTATAAAATGTAACCTCTCAGGCACGGCCTGTGTGCGTGTCCTGTAACATCTTGCCTTGGCAGAATAAAACCTTTCTTATCTCACCCCTAATTAACTGCTCTGGAGAATTTTTCAGCACCAAAATACAGCGGCAACAACCGTCTCAGCTAAAGAGTTTCTACTAGCAAAGTTTGCTCATTTAAAGAGGATGTCACTTTCTCAGCGTTACATTTTTTTTTTTCCTACAGAAAATCAAAAGTCATGTAGAAAGCCAAAGAATAGCACTCACACAAAAGGGAAAAAAAAAAAGGAAAAGAAAATAAAAGAAAAGAACCTCACAGCTCTTGGCAGAGCTTCTAGGTAGTAATTTACAACCTGAAGCCTCTTTTCTGCAAGAATTGGTCCATGGGAAAGGAAAATTCACTCCACATCTTTAAACTTGATGCTGTCAGACCTGTCACCTTCATCTGATGATTGAAAGACTGCAGTGTCACAGCATCACTTCAGACAGCTGGTGTCTAATTGAGAAGGATTCCTCTATTAACTATGACCCTCCATGACTCCTCTCAGGCAGTGAGAAAAGGGATTTTGACAAGCTGCCTGTAGCTCACAGGTTTCACAGTGGAAAGATGAAGATCATTTAACATGTGTTGTTTCGGGGGAAAAAAGACAGTCAAGAGGTTATAGTAACAGTGTCCTATATAAACAAAAGGAAACTGTTCACTGAGCATAGGAAAGATGCTGTGATGGGAAGATATCTCTAGGCACCTTCTTCAGACCCAAATGAGAGCTAAAGGAACATCACTGGCAGAAGCTTTCTGAGTCTTAGGCAGCTGAAGTCCTAGAGCATACAAATGCTGCTTTAACCGGGGTAACTAAAGGCTTTAATACAGCATATCCCCTCTCCTCTCCACAGTACTGTGTCACCAGAGATTTTTTCCTTCCCTGACACAGGGATTGAGCCTTCCTGGGGTATATTCCACATCACTGCTGATGCACTATAATTGAGGCAGTTGGCATCACTGAATTGTACACAGGCAGGATCTTGGTTAACCAGCACCTAGAGTGTGTGAAAAGGAAATCATGCATCAAGCTTTTTGTGTTGTTTTAAATGTTTTTCACTATTAATATATCATTATATTGCCTGTCTGTTTTTCTAGCTCTTCACCTTTGGTTGGAGAGAAGACATCCGCCCTGGGGAGCCACTTCACACCAGGAAGTTCTGCTTCGATGCCATTTCGCACAGTAGCCCTGTCACACTGTATGATTGTCATGGGATGAAGGGAAACCAGCACTGGAGCTATAGGAAGGTCAGAGTCACTGTGGGGCATCTCAGAGGCTCAGACTGTCTTGAACGTATATTCGGTTTAGCACAGGCTTGTGTTTTCCCATCAGAGAAGTTTGTTTTAAAATCCACCCCGTCCTATTCCAATTTAATTTTGAGGTAATCTCTCTAGAATATGTTCCTTTCGAACATTCTGCTATTTAGGTCAAATTTAAATGAAAATGGATGTGATCCAGATCAGAGGGTGTCTGTGTTGGATCTGTTCCCTGAAAGGTGTTTTACCATTCTGGCACTTCAAGTTACTTGTGTCGTTTTAACAGAGGCACTGTTGGAAATATTTTCATCCAATGTTACAGCAGCAAGAAATGCTGCTCATGAGTTAAATGTTATTATTTTACTTCATTTTCAAGATTACAAGTGGCAGAAAAATCTCCCTCAAAAAAAAAACCAACAAAAACCAACAAAAAAACCCCAATCCAACATTAAAAGCAGAGCTGTAAGCCCAAAGAAGGCAGGAGTTTATAAACTAAAGATAAGCAGCTTAGACACTACTTTGATCTGCTGAGTTTCAGCCCGTTTTTATAAATCACTGGAAACAGGAGGTCAAGCTAGAAACTGTCAGAGCCTCATTTATGCTAAAGTCCTGGTAATGCTATTGAGTTGTTGTTGTTGTTAGGTTTTTTTAATGGTTAATCAGCAAGTTGCCTTGATTAAAGATTTTGCTAATAAGCTCTGTATTCCATTCAGGATAAGGATATACATTTATCTGAAGCACTGAGGATTCCTCTCACACATGCTTCAGTTTTCTTTGACCATTGTGCCTTGCCCTCCACCTTGCTTAAGCTGAGGGCAAAGTGCCAGGAATTGGTCTTTTCCAGATAAACCTCAATACTGCTTTCTAGTTGAAAGTATATATAGTAGAAAACTGATTCAGAACCGTTAAAACAGGTTTGCCCTGACCCTTTTTCTGAGTGCCTACTTATTACAGACACTGTGCCTTTTTACCTTATTTATGTTGCAAGGGGAGGTCTACCACAAGATTTTCCAGAAATGTAATCCCTTTGAAACTGAAGTATTACCTGTAAGAAAACTAGAATGTATGTGCCAGATGTTTAGAGGAGATAAGCTGTGATGGCTGTATTGCTGCCTCTCTGACATTATAATGCCATAATAATACCTTCTTGCTTCAAAACCCTTCTGATTTATCTTTTTGCCTACCGAAGCTGCAAGAAAGAAGCTTTCATACATTTAACACTTCATTGTTGCTTAATATAGCCAGTCCATAAGACAAAATGTGGGGCTGGAGCTGCCCTCTATAAGGCTCATCACCTTTGATGAGGACAGAATACAGTAGATAACTAAAAAAAATGACATTTGAAAAAAATATGTAGTGTGAGTTCTATTAAATTCTCTGTACAGCTTCCTTTCTAATTTATAGAAGGTTGACAGGGCTTATATAAAAATTCTCAATGCAAGACAGGCATTTCCATCTCAGCAAGAAACACCATAAAGTTTTGTTATGGTAGAAGTACTGGCACAGTCTTAACTGTAATACAAACCTTCAGTTTGCATAAACCTTCAAATTAGGAAACTGAATTGGAATAATAGAAATATGTATACATGGTTTTCTTTAGGCTTAGTTTTTGTTTGGCTACACCATAGGTAGTTTCCCATGGTCTATTTCCTCAGATACAGGGTAGATTTATTTTAGAGACTTTTGGTAGTATATCTATGCCTCCAGAATCATAATGATGTAATCCTTACCTAGTTTTGAAAGCATCTTGGTAATAGGATTTTGGGTGTTCTCCCCACAAACAAACAAAAAACGTACAAGAAAAGGATGTTATATTGTTTAACTGCATCTGTACTAGAGCCCTTTACCTAGAGGATGGTATGCTACTAAATCTGCACCCTAAATAAATAAGAATAATAGTCTGGTTAAGCAAGAAGTGTGTCTTTTTAAAAAAACAGAGAGAAGGTCAGCAGCTCTCTTTTGTTCTCTGCACCGCTTACAGACACTGAAGCTTCCTAATGGTAATGTACCCATCCTGCCAGTAATTCTCATGCTTTAGGAAAAATGACCCTGCTTGTCAGTGTCTTATAACATGCTTAATGTGAAGCATTTCTTACCACGTTGCCACAGTACTTCTATAAAACTAGAAAATAAGAGTTTAAAGATGAGACTTTTCTCATGATCCTTTGCATCCTTGAGCCAATGGTTAGAAGTTAGGGCTGTGAAGTGATTACAAAGTGCTGCAAATGTAATTTGAAGCCAGGCATTGTTTTCAGATTCTGTATTCTTATAGCATGAAACCCCTAACAACCTGGGTTTGGATACTGGCAAATAAAAACAGCTTGAATATTTTAGTGGCAAATAGAATACCTTAGTATTTTACTTTGTGTAAGGATCGGTCTTCTGACAAAAATTTAGAGCTTAGGCCCATTACAGGCACTTTGCTTCTCATTGCAGTGCAGTCGCAGTGTTCAAACCGCATTCTTTTCAGATTAATGAAATCAAAACCACCACTAATAAAGATGTGTCAAAAAACTGTTCGTATTCCCATACTGTTTGAACTACATCTGAGTAGCTATTTGAAAGTCTAGTAAGTTTGAGATATTAAGTAATCAATTTTCTTAGGACTAATCCAAAATACTGGTCTATAGCCAAATATACCTTTAAGAAAAGCCTGTAAGAAGAAGAAGAAAGCCAAGTAGCACTGCAAACATTGCTATGGGTTGCAAGTAGAAGAATAGAATTTAATACCAGGAAAAAAAATATTGACACCATATTGGAGCAATGTAAGAAATTAGGTAGATAAATGTAAATAACCTGTAATTACTAGTGATTTGGGAGAATGGCTTTAGCTTCCCAAGCCTAAAGCCATTTTCTTGAATCTGTTTGAGACTCCTAAGCATGCCAAGCCAATGATCAGCAGTGCCTACAAATTTCTGTTCCTCACAATGAAGGAGTACGCCTCTGGTTTTCAATGTAGCATCATTCTGGGCTGACAGGTAATATATTGGTTCTGATAAAGTATGATTCAATTTATGTGCCGTAGGCCCACTAGTGCTATTTTTAGGGCACAAGTATCCAAGAGAGGTCTGATTTAGTAGGTCTTTAAAAAGGAACAATTGTGCAAAATCAATTACACCATAATTTTACCCTGTGTCTAGTGCTTATGATAGATGCTAAACTGACAATGTCAAAAACTGTGCCCAGAAGACAGTGGTTTGCTCATAGTCTCCTGACAGCTTCAGGGACAAACTGTAAGAATAAGTTCACTCTTGACATAGTAGGTGCTTAGATTATTTCCTCAGACAGCTGAAGACATGTCATTGTAATAGTACCTTTTATAATATGGGCATCTGTCCTGCTGAAACTGCACTGGGGCTACCAACTAATTTCAGATAAACTACTGCAGCCACCAGCTGATAATGACTTCCAGTTGCTCTTGAGATTGGCTATAGTTACAGCAGTGACCTAGAAGAAATGAAAGGCTCTGTGTCTCATTACCAACCCCCTGAACTGTCAAGACCCATTATCTTATGGAGGAGTTCCTCCTTCTGCAAATAATCTTCAGGCTAGCCATCATGCAGAAGGAAAAAAAAAATCCCTCTGCTGTTTTCACATGTCAGCAATGTCTCCAAAATAGCGTTTGTGGTTTCTCAATATTGGTATAAAGAGGAATTTATGTATTTCTCTTGTAAAGTTCTTTGCTAGGGTTCATGCAACTGTGACTCCTTAAAGTCCTGAGCCTGTTTCTGTAAGAGCAGTAGGCTTTGACCTTAGGTCAGCATAAGCTTGAGTTTATAAATTGATAGGCCTTTATATATAGCTAAGTCAGCCAGAAGTTTTTCCAGAGTGGTAACTCTGTCCCTATTCTTAAAAGACACTCTTCTCTCCTAATAACCAGACTCTGAAAGAAAGCACAATGCTTCACTCAAAAATTGCATCCCTGGGATATTTCTGTGAGAAGAAAAACTGCCCGCTTTCTGGAAAGGCTGGAGTGCTTTTCATAGCAAACTTTTTGTGCTGAAGCTGTTTCCTTTCTTCTTGTACCAGCTATCTTATTAAAGCTTCTAGTATTCCAACTTTGGCCTCCTAATAGCTTGGCTGACCTTCACGCCCAGCTATAATGCAAGGAAAACCAGATGCCCCCTTCCTCCAGGGCCCCACATCAGGCCAAGTGGCCATGGCACAGTCACTGTGTCCTGACTTTGAGCGGTGCCACTCCATCAATCTCTTTTTAGAAGACAGGAGGATCTGGCAAGGTGCAGATGGGTGCCTGCACCACCCCATAGGGTGCTTGGGAGTTCTTGCAGGCCCACCTCCTAGTAGGGACACAATAGTCCTTGGTACACATTACAGTTACCCCCTTCTTGCAAGCTAAAGTATCCTCCCTGCTTGCTTTGTAGAATATGAGGGAAAGGCCTCTACTCATTTGATTTAGTCCTGTCAGCTGTGATGGTATCCCTCTGAATTACAGTGTTGGGTGTGGGTGTGTGGGTCTGTGTGTTCAACCACTGTTTTTGGGGAAGGGCAGATGCTAGAAGGAAAAAGTGGTGTTTGTGAAAGGCAGATCTAACACCATCACCCACAGCCAGAGAACAAGATGCTTTTGCCTTTGTTCTTTCTTGCATATATTAATTATGAAAAGAGGCATTGTACTTTACCAGAGTTTCACAACCCCCAAAATCAATCAATTTCATCTTTCCTAAATTAAAAAAAAAAACACTTTCTTTTTCAAACTGGTTTTAAATAGCTGCTATTTCTTTTTTTCTTCATACTTTTTTTTTTTTGGAATGTAGGGTATTTGTAGTTAAAGAGAAGTTTCCGTGATTGTTGCTCAGCACCCACAACAGTTGTGTGAGTTTTCAATCAATTTCAATTTGACAAGTAGATCTTCTTTCCCTTTCGCAAACTAGGCAAGCAGGCACATCTTGGATTAGTATTAAAATACTAATCAGGGCATGTTTGGTGTGGAGGGGAAAAGCCTGGATGTGGTTCACCAAGAGTAATCTGAAATTTATTTCAACAGATGCAGTATAGTCCCTGGAAACTTTCAAACCATTTAATCACTCCCGCATCTATCTCTCTCAAAACACTTGCTATATGAACTAAGTTTGTTGAAACTACCCAACTCACACATACCAGCTGTTCAAATGAATAGTTTCTGCTTTAACAAAGATTCACAGTCAGGTTATGTAACATTCACTCTAGTTTATTAAGTAAAATTAATAAAACTAATCATCATAAATATGCTTTTTAAAGCAACTTAATCCATGCTTACCCTCCCAAAATCTCCATATGGAGCTAAATCAGTATTATGATTTCCATCTTATTAGGAGAGAGAGCTTATTTCAGTAGCTGGTCTTATCGAGGCCAAGTCTGCATTCCATGGGGTGAGAACTGAGAACATCATTCCTGTGTCCATCTGTCCACCACTTCAGTTAATAATTCATTTTTAACGTCTTCACCAAGTTGAAGATTGTTACAGCTCCTCCTGCCCAGAAACATGCAACTGTCAAGAATAAATCTAAAAAAAACCACCCAAAAACACTTCAGACATTTAAATGGGCTCCAGGCAAATACATGATGTGCAAAGATGTTAGAAACATTCTACTTTTTCATTGTATTATGCAGTTGTTAGTAAAAGACCAGATGATGTCTCCTCCTTCTTTCTTGAATCCCCAGTTTTATGAAGGATGATAACCCAAGGGAAGAAAACACTCCATTGTCTACAGCTTCCTAATAATAGATGTGGTTATTACACAGGGTTAGTGCACAGAGACCACAAAATCATTTCATATAGGGCTGTGTTAATCCATGTTCTGTAAAATGTGAATACTTCCAATGCTTTGGCATTTGCTACCTAATTCTGGTTTTTTTCATTCCTCTAGGACAAAACTTTATTCCATCCGGTAAGCAGCAGCTGCATAGATTGCAACCCAGCTGAGAAGAAGATTTTCATGAACAGATGCGATCCTTTATCTGAAACTCAACAGTGGATTTTTGAACATATTAATATGACTGTTTTAGAAAAATTTAACAGCAAGGCCAGTTCCTAGAAAGAAAAAAAAGAGAAAAAATGAACACACCTATTTACGTACAGACTGCAGACTACGTTTTCGCCAGCATCTGGGTCAAAGGAGTCAGGAATTAAGTTTCCTAGATCCAGGAAATCTGTTCTGAGGATTAAGAAAATGCCACAGCAAGAGCCAGCAGGCTGTCCTTGTGGATGTACAGTATCTGGAGAACTTGGCCAAGAGCCTCACCGGATGCTGCTGAGAACTTCAGGCTGAAAATTCCCTTGCTGGTCAAGGGAAAAACTTTGTTTAAAAACTGTTTAAAAGTACTCCAAGTTAATAAAGTAAAACAAAACTCTAGTTTCTCAGGTCAAATCCTGCTGTAGTGAGTAGCTCAGAACAGGCGCTATAATTTGGGATGGGTATATGGTGTGCATGACAGCTACAGGAACCTGAAGAAATCCCAGGTTTTAGAACTAAACATGCTAGTAGAAGAATAATGATGTCCCAGCACTCCCTAAACAAGATATATGCTCTGTTGACATTCTCTTAATAAAAAGTTGGGTTAAGCAGGTTTAACCCTCAGAACTGCTGCAATTAATTTTAAATACCTCCCTTTTACATTCCATTCATTACCAAAATAGGAATGGTAGAAATTTTAGGGTCTAGAATTACACTGTAGTGAAGCATGGAATAAACTGTAAGGTTTTGCTCTCATATTTTCCCCTTCAGGAAAAAAAAAGTAAAGCAATCAAATCTCTATACATGATATATTTAGCCATTGTGATTCAAATCCCATTGTCACATAAGGTGAGAGGGTTTTTTTAGTGACAAATATAACAGCAGCAGTTGCAGCATAGTGGAAGGCTCGTGGACTAGCTATCTTTTCTACAGGTAGAATCCTTGCCAACGTATAAATTAAATTGAAAATAGGCTGGGAAAAAAAATCGGGAGAGTAGGAAATAATTGCATACTGCATGCTGAACTAGATTAGTCAAATTAACAATGGTATGTTGCCATCACCTAAAAGTATGTTGACTCCTTGCAGTGCAGCTTGAAAGATCTTGCAGTGCTCTTGACAGATAGGAATGGAGAGAAAAATTGACATGAAATCAGTTGGGTGGTTTCAAAGTTTTTGAAATCTGTGATGGAAATCATGTGAACTTTGCAGAGTTAGCAAGTGAATGGTATTGTAGATATCAGGAGAGAGGAAACAAGATGTGCAAACAAGTTAAATGTTACGATATTTTGACACTTTAGGCACAGGCACAATTCACGGTAACACAGACTTCTGTCACCCAGATGATCATTATGGTATCTCTCAGACTCATCAAGCCATTGGAGTGAGAGGCCTCTCAAACTTCTTTGGGAGGGTGTCTGTGGTTCTCCTCAGTTAATACTGATGTGTGGAACATGACTAATAGCTTTGAGATTGTTCAAGGTAAGAGCGAGTATAAATTTATATCAAATATGTGACCTGCTTTTACTTGAAAGATGAATTCACAGATGAAAGCACCATAAATGCAGATAGATCACATGCTCTGTGCTGTAACTCCTTTCAGGTTCCAAATATAACATTTGTAGTTAAGTTGCTTATTCTGATTGCTAAAGAGGTGGCCGACTAACCAAAATACTGATGTGCAATCTACACTGTTTTGAGGGAGTGGAGTGACTGTTTTGTTTATTTCTCTTTAAGCTGTGTTTATGCACAAGAGCATTGATTGCATCCAGAGGATGGTTCTAATACCAATAACTGTGCTATTTTATGGCAGCACCTTGTAGTTGCAGGTCATAGGAAATTTTTAGGAGGGAAATGAGATCCTGTAGCATTCAAGATGCATGCACTTGGAAAACTGTGAAATGTGTCCATGTATTTAGCAATTGCTGCAAGTTAGTGAAGAAATCTTTCAAATAATTTGAAAGAAAAATATCTACAGAGATAGATTTCTCATTTTATGATTTTAAAATAAGTGAGATTGTTCAAGTATTGTTTAAATTTGATTTGAAGATATGGTGCACTCGGGAACAGAAGCAGTAATGCTGCGGTGTGCGGATACTTCAGATTTGTTTAGCCATCAGTACACAGAACCAGTCTAGCAATGCAAACTGTCAGCCTTTCCAGGTGCAGAGCTCACAGCAGCATATATTTGCAGCTTGAACATGAGGAAAGACGGTTTGGGAAAAAGAAGAAAATGGCTGCCTCAGATGCAAATACAGCCCTCAAGCTGCTGATTGTAACTGGCCCCAAACTGTCAAAGTCCTGGAAGCAACACTGTATGCCCAAAATAGAGAGGCAAAGGTTGGATTGCTAAACCGGAACAGATTGGTAGGGTTATATCATTCAGTGTCTGACTGCATCTCAGTGGTCTGATTTTGAGATGTCTAATGGGAACTAGGCTGCTGTTGGGGCAAAGAACTTCTGTGCCTTTTACAGCCCTCGTTGAGTAATATTGCACAGTGCCTTGCACTGCCAAAGGAAACCTTCCCCTTACTTGTAGCTGATCTCGACTTGTAAACTCTAGCAGTCCTTGTCAGAAAACATAACTAATATTCAGGTGTTCTGGGGAAAGATAATAGTCCTTGCACAGGATTCCTTCAACAAAATTTTATTAATAATAAATGATCATCGCTACCTCTCAATTAAATTCTGTCTTGGGTGTTCTCCAAAGGTTTCCACTGTAAGAATATTTCATTACTAATTTATCATTCTGAATTTCTTTGATTCTTTCTACAACCATATCTTTTCCACCCAGCAAACTTATGAACAACTTGGTAGGATGGACAGATGTATCTTCCTCTCTTATTTCAGCAGGAGAATTTAATATGTGTTTCTTCAAAAGACTGAAGTTACTTCCCAAAATTTTTTTTGAATACCAGATAGTTCTGAACATATTTTAAGTGTAGAGCACAGGTGACATTAAGTAATGTGGGCTCATCATTTCAGTGGAGTTATACTGATTTCCCCAACTAATGACTTGCTTCAGTTTTTTTCAATTCATTATTTTTTGGCTGAGAGGGCTTTAGTCAACATGCCTTAAAAGAAGATCTTTGTATTGTAAGAGTTCATCAGCACCTACTCTAAATTTTTTCCAGTTAAAGTTATCTGACCTTTTTTTGTGGCCAGCAAACTACTATGATAGGAGAGAGCAACTGGAAAAGCTGGAATGAACTCCAAGTGCAACTAAAACTCTAAAATCACACATTTCCCTGCATGTATTCTAGAACCTAAACTAAACGGAGGCCTTGAGGGACAGGGCTTAAAGGAGGGAGGAGGAGCTGGGAAACAAAATGTTTCATGTGTGGGAGAGCAGCCTTGTTGCAGAGGCATAAGGCATCACTTTTCACTGGCCACAGAAAAATGAGATTGCTTTAGAACAAATGTTTCTGCAACAGTATGGATATTTTCATGATAATAATGCATTATTCTTGGGTTTTATCTGTTTAGCTGCTGAACTAAGTCTGCCTCACAATAAAGATAGACTAAGTTTGAAAGGAAGCTGACAAGCACTTAACAACCTTTGGTTACTGGCTATTTACCAGGCATCAATGTCTCCATGACCTCAGTGAAATCAGATGCCACAGAAGATCATAGAAGAATAGTATATAAATAGCTTGACCAAATTGATTAGATGGGTTGCACTTCTGCAAGAGTGGATGTTACCTTTGTTTAAAAAAAAACCCTCATAATCACAATTTATTTGCATTTTTACTGATAATTTCTGCAAGGGAGTGAGTGAGAGGGACTGTTTTAACCTACCCAGATGGATTGGGGATGGAGCATTTTAGGAAGGCAGCACTGGGAGGCTTTCAGTGTGGCTGACAGCAGGGGTGCGTCCATTTTCTATTTGAAGAGCATCTATAATGCTCTTAACCTAGCATTTTTTGAGAGAATGCAGGATGTACATTAAAAAAAAAGATAATGATTTTATTTTTCTTTTTAATCCATCAAGGTTGTTTGGGAAATAATTTCAAAACCTTTGAAAACAAAACAGGCTGATCAGAAGTAACTTCTATTATAGCTGGTATTAGTATTATAATGTTCATTAATTCATTTGTTTAACCCCCTTCCAAATCTGTTTCATATCCTGTTAGAAAGAGCACAAGGGGCCAAGAGTGCTTTTACATAATGTTTTCAGGATCTTACCATGTCTGAAAGTTTTGAAAGGCCTTTTAAAAATTAACAAATATAAACCAAAAGGTAACAAGGAAAAACACTTGGCTATTATGTCTAGTCTACCAAAATATTTTGCTAAACTTGTGCAAAAATAATATATTTTAACTGGAAATTTTTAGATTAATAAGTAATATAGTTTAGTAAGTCTTTAGTGTGTAGTGCTTTCTATCGAAGAATTTTAATTTAAAAAAAAATGAATTTGTGTGGTTAGTTGCTGACAGGGTTTTTTTTAACCACATTTAATACATAAATCTGTCCTGAGGTCTCCTGTAATCTCATATTTCCTTTTCATAATTCCTAATGCACTGAATTTAAGAAAATGTGAACATAGGAAAAAAAACTCAAAAAAGTAAGAAACTTGTGTAAAAACAAATAGTGAGAATGTGTAGCTAGAGATGTTGAGAAAAATGCATCACATTTCCAAAGCTTCAGCTGCATTCAGAAAATACATGTGCTTTGTGTGGTGGCTTTCTATTCTTTCAGTGTATCATTAATAATAGTGGTACTACTCCTGAGGCAGGCCTTCTGAAAATGGTGTTGCTAGCATTTGGTACAATAGGTGGACAGCATGGTGCTAGAGGAAAAAATCTAGGAACCGCTCCTGAAAAAATTGCATTCAAACATTGCAATCTGATATGCCTTAAGATCTTAGCTGTTTTTAAGATTTCTTTTATCTTAGTATTTTTTTACAGGACCTGGTAGTGCAGTAGGTGCTTCAGGGCCCTTATGAAAACAATGCAGACAATGGGAACAAAGAGGACACAGGTGACACCTAAAGGTGTGGTTACTGCAGCAATGTCAAGGGTAATTATACACAAAGAGAAGTTTGTTTATTTTGTGTGGCCACTGTAGTAAATGCCCAGCTTAACAGAACAGATGAATGAGAAGGAGCCTAGCAAAGTGGGCCAGCAGAAAAGCTTGTACTCAATAGAAGATGTAGAAAAAGTCCCAATGGTCCATTTTAGAGAAGCAGATGAACAGGGTGTTGAGATGGATATCATAGACAGTGTAAGGGATATGAGGGGAGCTGCAAGTGAGGCAAGTCTGGTAAGTAAGGCTACTATCTAAAAGATATTAAGACATAGGAAAGGAAAACTTGGTCCTCATTAACCTTAGCCCTCATTAACCTTGGCAGGATCCCTAACACTTTGTCAAAGTATTAGTTGATTTAATTAAGTTAATCCTTCATCTCTCCCAGTAAATGACTCAACCTGGAAGAAACCATAGTTCAAGCAAATTTCTGTTTACCAGTCCGGAGCATCTAATTGGCAAAATATGCCACTAGCAACAGTTTAGTCAAAAATCTCAACTGGCACTAGAAATAAAACAATATTATCAGACTGAAAGATCAGTAGACCTCTGGCATCCCTCTGTGAAAAAAAGATTTCACTTGCCTAAAGAACTGATTGATGGTAATGATCCTAGATTAAGAAGATCAGGAATTGTGAGCTTTCAAGGAGGTGAAAGGCCAAATGGTGAGATTAGGACTTGGCAGTTTAATTGAGAGAGGAAGGAGGAAATAGGTGGTAAAAGGGAAGAAGCAGGAATCAGGTTTAATTCTGTATATGAAGGAAGTATGACCTACAAAGGTCAGTCACTGATAATTTTGGATACTTCTTCATAGCAGAGCTTGCATGTTTATTTCCATCACAAATATTCAGTAATTGAGAGGCAATCAAGTCCTCTTGCAAGGACTTAAATTTAGAATAGAAACTGGATACTCTGAAGTGTATTGATTGTGAAATACATGATGGCAACTAGAGAAAAGCTTTGCTGGACCCCAGGTTTGTTCTGAGTTTTTCACCAAAGGTATGTGTGGACGTTCCTGAGGATACCTTGTGGGTAGTATGTATAAGCAGAACATTATGGTCACTGTTTTACCTCAGATTAATATCTCTCTATATCTCAGGCTTTTTTGAAAGAGGAAAAGTGTTTAGCTAAATTTTTCAGGAAATGTCAACTCGGATCAGTGCGAAATAGCTCTGCCTGCTCCCTATGTGGACCAAGATAATAAGTGTTTCTCTTCAGACATCAAATACAGCTCTCAAAAAAAAAAGAATGGTATGGCTCTGCCTTCATGGCTCCTTGCAATTCAGTTATTTTATTTATTTTTTTCCTATTTGGTGTTTCTTCCCTTCTGCTGGCTTCCCATCTGCAGGATTCTGCCAGAATGCTGTTTCTCTTTCTTCCCACCTTTCTGGTCTGTGCCAAAGGTATTTCTGCTGTTGCAGATCCCCTTCTCAAGATAAAAGTGACTAAAACTGCTTTGATCTTGACTGGGCAGAGCCACAAGCCTTTCTGCCTCAGGGTACATGGTTTACAGTGGCTTGTGCTAACAGTGGGATAGGGAGGAGAAATGCACCTGAGAAGTTCTGTCCTTATGGGCCAGTCTCACTACAGATTTCATTCATGGAAAAGTTGTAGCTCATAGCACAGAGAGTCAAACATCCTTGAGAGAGAAAATTGCATTCAAATTGGTAGATCACAAATTGGTGATCTACTTTCTCACCCATCTTCAATATTCAGAACTGCCCAGAGAAGGAAGTATGTAAGAACAGGAAGCATCTAAGTCAGTGGATATACTTTGTACTAATGTATAGAAGCAGCCAAACTTAGTCTGGACATCAGGTTTTCATCTTTTGATTATCCATATTGAGCTAACATAGATACAAGAAACTGAGCAGAATTATATTAAATTGTGGTTTGTGAAAGCCACCAAGGGATTATAATAACTTTAACTGAAGGCATTATTGCAAATCTGAAATGGATGCATAATCTGTGATGAATGCATGATATAAGTTAACTTCTAGTCAAGCTGCAAAGAGTCAGAGGGGTTGGTTTTTTTTACAAAAACACAAAAAGAGAGAGATTATCCAACATGCAGCAGCTTTTGCTTACAGATGTACAGGGCTCCATTTTATTCCCCAGCATGACAGCAAAGTTAATATCTATAATGATTCCCATTATCAAAGCAACATTTGCAGAGGTGGCAGTAAAACATCACCTTTTCTTTCCTACTAGACAGGAATCCTTTCACTGGTTTCCTAATTGGTTTTATGCACCTCCAGAGTCATTTATTTGTAACCAGAACATATGGATAGAAGTTGTACCGTGTCTCTTCACTAAACAAGTTCCTAGGAAATCAGAGTACCAGTGTAAAGGCTGTACAAATGCACTTTTAAAAGAATTGTCAGCCAAGGAAGGGGAATTTCATACAAAAGAAAAGTAAGTCCCCCTAAATGGACATGAGCTGGCAATGTGTGGTCGCAATGTGCACTTGCAGCCCAGAAAGCCAGTTGTATTCTGGGCTGCATCAAAAGCAGCATGGTCAGCAGGTCAAAGGAAGCGATTCTCCCCCTCTCCTCCACTCTCGTGAGACTCCACCTGGAGTGCTGCATCCAGCTCTGGGGCCCCCAGCACAGGAAGGACGTGGACCTGTTGGAGCAAATCCAGAGGAGAGCCACCAGGATGATTAGAGGGACAAAGTACTTCTCCAATGAGGAAAGACTAACACAATTGGGTTTGTGGAGCCTGGAAAAGAGAAAGCTAAATTCTTTACTGTGATGCTGGTGAGGCACTGGAACAGGTTGCCCAAAGAAGTTGTGGATGTCCCATCCTTGGAAATGTTTAAGGTGAGGTTGGATGGAGTTCTGAGCAGCCTGGTCTAGTGGAAGATGTCCCTGGCCATGGCAGAGGGACTGGAACTAGATGATCTTTAAGGTCGTTTCCAACCTAAACCGTTTTATGATTCTAAAACTTGTTTTCCTTTATTCTTGTCATATCAGCCTCCCTATTGCAGCTACTGCTCTGCATCAAAACAGGTGATGTTAATCTACACCTAGAAGAGTAATGGTGCTTCATCAGGGCTCTGCTGCCAGTTTTTCTTACAAATCTGCACCATAGCTGTATAAACCCATTCTTTGGGGGTTGTTCTCCACAGCTGTTGTCCTGGCAAGGGGTACATTCCTTCCAACTTTGGCCTGACCTGCAGTTTTCCACCTCAAACTCTGTTGGCTGAAGTAGCTCGATATTGCCCAGCTCTCCAGGTGATGTGGTTCACAGCACATCTCTCAACACTTCACAGCAGTCCAGTCCACATAAACACACACACGCACGCACGCACGCACGGTTTACCAAGCGTTAGGTGGCAAAATAGAAACATGTGGTCCCTTCTGAGTCTCTGAGTTGCTTCTATTTATCAACTAACCTTTCTGATGGTCAGAGTATTTTCTAGGCATCTTTGTGAATACCCTTTCCTGCAGGTATCCTGCAAAACATCCATTTCTCTCACTTTTCTGAGAGTCTGGAATTAAAGCTTTCACTTGCTGTTAAACAACATTCGGGACAAAACATTCCCTGGCAGTTAAACTATTATAAATTATATATAAAGGGCCAAGAAGAGCTGAAGACAACTTTGTGTAATCCCTGTCCAATATCCCAGTAGGTAAGACAGCCAGTAATGATCTGGGCTGATGGGCAGCTAGTAGAGCTCAACAAGTAAAATGGAGTTGTCTAATTTTCTGTGAATCAAAGTCAGATTCTTTGGTTATTGGAATTTAGGAAATATAGCTTTCTGAAAAAATGGGGAAAATGTTTTCAGGTGTGTGCATTTGAAGTATTATACAATAGACTACAATTAGTAATATATAAATTATAATAAGTAAAGGAAAATATACACTTCTGTGCTGACTGGTCTAAGATAGTTGGTTTAGATGTTATTAAACAACAGCTGTAGAAGCTTTGACCAACTTACTAATGCATAAAATAAAGTTTTCAAGACATGCTTAAAGGGTTTACAGAGAGCACATGCCTGTAAATTTCTGGACTGTAATTAAGAAGCTCAACTATGGAATAAAAATTGTACGCCTGTCCTATTTTATATTTGGATGTATTATGTTACAGAATACAAAGTAAAAGATTGCTAAAGAGCAGTTTCAAAAAGATTACCATGATGTGAATGAATAAATACCTCTCAGAAGCTACAGCATTAATTTTTCAGTTTGTGGTACATCTACTGCTGCTAAAATAACCTGCTGTGGGTGGGCAAAGAACCAGACAAGCCCAACCAGCTGCAGGGCTGCCCAGGGCCATATGGCTGCTCATGTTCCCACAGCCCCCAGCCATGCCAGCTGTGTAATATCAACAGAAAGAGAAGCCAAAGTCCTCTTCTTTAACAAAGAGCACTGTTAGCTCTGGCAACACCTTAAATCATATCTTGAATGGCCACTTAAATAAGAGGCAAATACAGAAGTGAGGACAAAACAGATGTACTGGTGTAATAGTCCTCAAGTGACAAGTAAGGAAGCATTGAAAAAGTTCGTGAGAACTTGATTCCAGTAAAAAGTCATGTAAGTCAAGATTTACTTGTTCCACTTCCATGCCAAATTTTAAAAAAAAAGCAACAACAACAACAAAAAACAAACAAACAAACAAACAAACAAAACAAACACAAAAACCCAACCTAGAAATTCCCAGCACCGCTGGTTCTTTTTCTGCCTACAACTAATAAGACATAAAATACATCATCTTCCTCAGGAGGATTAACTGCAGAAGTTTAAGAGTCATACAGAAGAGCATGATTAGTCAATCAATCACCTTCAAAGACTAGGGAAGGAAGAGTTGCTTATTACGTATTATTTATCTTAAAGGAATTAGTTTTCTTTTTCTTTTTTATTTTTGTCTCTTTACCTTAAGCCCTATAACTAAATTTGATGCATACCCATACACTTCAGTTCTTCAGTGCTGTACCTCTATCCTAAAAGCTTCTAATCTAAATTAGTTATTAAATTCATCCCTGACATCCACTACATATGGCATAGTCGAGGTAGGTTTTAACTGGACACAATCTAATTTTTGTTTATTCAGGCAGCTTTCTGGGGGAGCAGTTAAAGTGAACATTGCTTCCAAAGACCTCTGAACATCAAAAATAGCAAAACTAAGAAAACTATAAGCATGCATTGAAAACATGTGAGCATTCCTTGTCTAGAGAGCTTAAAAGAGTACTGTAGTCCAATGCAAACTGAAGGCATTCACAACCAGGAAAAAAAATAGTTATTTTCTACCTAACCTTTCTATTTAAGCTGTTTGGGACTAATTTCTTACAGGCAGTTCTACTGAACAAACCTGGTAAATATCTTCCAATAGTGATGATAGACTGAAACAGTGATTATAACAACAAAACAAATTATAAGTGAGGGGGATGTACAAATAAGAAAAACTTCTATCAAGTCCTTCTATCAAGTCATTAACATTACAGGCACTACCCTTAGTGAGGGAACAACTAGGAACAAAGAAAAATTATTATTAAAAGAACAGTAAAGTGCTTTAGATACATCAAAATCAATTAGGCATTAGTTTTAATGTAGCCTAAATTTAAAAGCTGTAAAACAACAGAGAATTTTCCCATTTGTATCATTTGGAGTTCACAGCCAGAGGAAAACACCAGGTATAAAGAAACCAGAGAGCCTTGTGTGAATTGTGTGTCAATTATCTAATTATCTTTGATAACATCAGGTGCAAACCTTCAAGGAAAAAGCTTTAAAGAGCTCTTGCAGGTAAGAGTGCATCAGGAGGGTAATAAGACTTTAAACAGGAGGAAAAGAAAGTACAAGGAACTGCATCTTGCTCTGAAATGAGTGTGCTGTCTCTGCAAGGATCAGTGATAGACAAGAGTTACATGGTAGTTACTGGAGCATGTTTATTAACTCCAAATGCAGCTTTTTGGTGTGGGAAGAGGGACAAGAAGACTGGGCACGTTTCTGCTTTGTCTTTTCTTTTACTTCAAGGCTGAGATGCTGCCACATACATTCCTGCTAGTCAAGAAAGGGAGGATCCAAGTCTGGCTCCTACCTTCTGGCCTCCCTTTGTCCTCTGCGATGCCTGTGGATGGGGAAGGGTGAGGGCAGTTTGTGATCCTCCCAGGTGGGCAGCTCCTTGCAGAGGCAGGAGTTTTCTCTGACAGAGGAGGTCAGCAGCAGCTACAAGATCTCAGCCTACAGATATAGCTCTACCATAGCAGCAGCCATTTGTAAGTGCTTGAATAGGGCAGCTGCCCTTGAATTTCCATCATGAAAAGCCATCAGTCTGTGAAGTATTTCTGTACATTACCTACTAGTGGTGGTGGTGGTTACATCCCTACTTCTGACTGGTAATTCTGTGCACCGGCTGGAGATGTGTTGCTATTCTGCACAATGGGTAATGCTATGAGCTCTGGACAACAAGCTGTCCCAGCTGGGTGACAAGGAGATGGGTCTGTGTACTCCTGGTCAGCAGCAGTATCTCCTCTTTGGTATTGAAGGGGAATTGTAGTGACCTCTTCAACTGGAGGCCTTGGTAAGTGGATTCAGAAGACGGTATCTGGTGGGGTGTTTGTATGTGGATGATTACTCCAACTAGCTTATTTCTTTTTGGCTTTCAAGATGAGGGGGGAAAATGGGTGGTTTTAATACTGTTTTTAATTCTGCCAGACTAAGTGATTCTCAAGTGACATTTACTACTGTCTTAGTTAAACATGTCTCCTGATTTAGAACTAATGAGCTTCTACATCAAGGAAATGCCAGGGTAAACTTAATTTTGGCAGGGGGGAAGCAAAACTGACAAGTAGAAGGACAGTGTCTCCCAACAGTGTCTCTCAACTTCCCAGAGAAGTGGGAAGAGTTGAGAAAGTGCCACTGGGGGACTAACCCCAGTAGTAGCACCTTCAAGGTAATTACTTGCAGCCCTTTGCCAGAGGTTGGCTCTGTAGCTACTACCTGAACTAGAGGAGAAAATGCCCCCTATGTCTGGATTACTTGGTTATTCTTATCTCCTCGGTGCTTCCCAGTACCCAAATTGAGAGCAGGAAACCAGTCATCATTGGACATCCCCCTGAAGTGCTTCTTTAGGGCACCCCACATGCTTCAGGTGACCCAACAGGGTCCATGCTGGCACCACCAGGACAGGAGAGTGCAGTCAGAGGGGGAACTGCTAGCTTCTCATCGTCCCACACAGCAACAGACTATACCAAAGATTACTTACAGTCTTTTGCAGATTCATGCTCAGGGTTTGGTTGTATGAGGTTCTTTTAGCTGTCTCACTCAGGGGTTCCTGTTTGTACCTCCTACTTAGTGACCAGCTGTGGCTTCACCATTTTCATGCCAAGAAACCTACATTTGCAGCCCTCTCAGAAGATATGACCCTGACTCTCCAAAGACTGGGACACACAACTGAAAAAAGACCACATCAACCCAAAATCAGGTCAGTGATTAAACTTCTTCATGTTGGCATATCAAGTGTCAGTATCATAAGGGTGCTCATGAAGTCATTTGCAGTTGTAGACTTGAGAGCAAGAACTGTCTATTTAACTGTTTCTGAAATAGCAGCTTGGGGGAGGGGAAGGTGGGGAGGCAAAGCTCTTCTGTTAAGAAATGCAAGATACTAGAAGTGTGAGTGTTGTTTCCAGAGCTGCCACATTCCGATTTCCAGTAAATGAAAAGCAACAACCATAAATTTTGTGTCCTTTATGCCAGCTGCTTTTGGTGTAGGGAATGTTGCTGAACTTTTGTTCCATGGAAAAAATTTTTCTCTTGTATTAGACCTTCACCTGACTCATTATTAGATAATCTTCAGCGAGCTTACACCTGAAAGGCTGAAGCTGTGGTGATTCTTAGAACAGTCTTGTCAATGCATGTGTGATGAAATTAAGGGAAGTCTAGCTATGAATGAGGTCTGTAACATTTTCAGTTCCCCTGAGAGCTTCCATCAAAGTAAATCTAAAGTATTTCCCTTCTTAAAGCACGTTTGAAGCAAGGGAAACTAAATATTTATCTATTGTTTGCTTGCCATGATATTCTTTACTTGGTGTCTGAGCACAGTGGTTGGCATATACAAATACAGCAGCTCATTTTTTAAAAAAGCATTGTCTTTTATGATTAATAAAGATAACAGTTTGCATTTCAGATGAAGAGACAACAGTTTATCACAAAATATTTACTCTGCCCAGAAGAGCAGCAATTTACAGACCATTTAACAGCAGTGTGTGTATACATTTAAAAATTACATCTTTTTTTTTAAAGTAAGGGTTTTGTTTGTGTGCTAAGCAGTTTTCTGTAAGTAAAAGGATTAGATTTTGTCTGGCATCTTTGAATTTATATTCTGTGAAAAGCTGTAGTGATTTAGATCTTAGTTTTTATAGCATGTGGCATGTAAGGTGTGTTTAACTTCTTGTGGGGGTTTTTTGGAATTTTTTTTTTTAGTAGATCATAGTCTTTATTTTCTTCTCTGGGAAGGGTCAGCACAAGCTCATAAGTGTTCTGCTCTTAAGCAACATAGGAAACTTAACCTCTTTGCCTTTTTTAGTTTAGTAGTCTTACACTATTCACCAACATTCACCAAACAAGAACATTTTCACTGAGAATGGATCTTAGTCACTCTCTTTTCTCTGGCTTTAAAAAAAAACCACAAAACAAAACAAAACAAAAAAAACCCAAACAAACAAACCCAAACCACAAAACCCCAACTAACCAAACAACCAAAAAAACCCATATGATCTCAAATTTCCTCATCAGTTGACTGGAGGACAAAAAAACCTCCACACAGCACCTATTTTTTCAAAAATTATGGAGAAGGGGAGGAATCAGAAGGGAGCAAGAGGGGCTAGGAAGAGTCAAGTTAGTGCATAGCCCTTGGGCAGACTCTTGCCATCTCTTGCTCCATGTCCCGTGAACTGAGGGAACTGGCACAAGGGAATTTTGTACTGCTGTCATTAGAGTGCATCTGGTCACAAAACTGTATGGCAGGCCTCTCTTTAAGCTTTATTGATTGTAACGGTGACAGCTGTGTGCAAGGACCAAATATGAACTTACTTGCATGGAGATGTTCCCATCTGAAAAGCCAAATGCCAGCGAAGGTTCTTGGGCTCCACAATGCTTGATGGCTTGTGAATCTGACTGTGAACAGCAGCTGCTTATGGGCTGGGGGCAAGAAGTCTGATCGTTCTTAATGAAA